CCCTGATATGTATACAAAACAAACTTTTTGTATGATCCGCGCATTTATGCTTTTATTTTTGTTAGGGAAAGGTTATATAGTTCTGTTTTATATAATTCCGCTGTCACGTGTTATTGTGAGTTTTTACCTTTATTAATAATTGGATGCTTACAAATTTATCACCATTCCATTGTAAATAAACCTACAAATGATTAATGGTAAAAAATGTATTCCCAATATCGAAGTATTACAAAGAAAAAGTTATTCAAAATTTATATCCTTTTTTTAAATAAGATGAATGGTTAAATACAGAATGCAAAAATGCAGGAAAAGTCAGTGTCAATATAGATTCAACGCTTTATTGATTATACGTATGGAGAAATAAGATATTGTTGATTAATTTGATTGTATGCATTCTATTATATAATATAATGAGGATGTGCCATTGTGCTAAAAAATATATATAACTAAACTTATCTGTAAATAATTGTGTGTAATTCTGTGTGTACAAATAATTTAAATAATTCCTTTGAAGATATGCCGTTACTGACATTCTGGTCATTAAAAGTTTCTTTTGTTTTACAAATGTCGGTTACACCTTTGTTAGACTTAGTTGAATTAATCCTTTTCTGATTGTATAACTAAGACCAAGATAAAGATAAACATAGTCGGTAAACTAATGTTAAGGTTAATAAATATTTACCAAACTAGCAATAAGTCGGAAAGCTTTTCGCGCAAAATCAATCTACAGCTAAATTAATACTCAGAAAAAAGATCGTGAGAAGCTGATTACAATCAACTTTGTTTCAAGTTTGAAATATTAAAAAAATATTATATAATATAATTGCGAAAGAGAGAATACAAAGAGATCATTTATCGATTCGGAATATGCGAATAAATTGTTAAGTTAGTAAAATATATTGCAATATAATCTCATATTATTTTAATACATTTTAATTTTAACATTGATTTTATCCATCAGTAAAATCAAGAAAAACGTTACGTTTACTTGATTATTACATTTCTCAGTATTATTTTTCCACAGAACAATTTCTAATTTATTAAAAATAAACTGATTATTTTTCCATTTAATTGCTAGTTTAAATAATACCAATAATATAATAAACATCATATTAAATAAATCTACAAAGAAAATATTCGAATGTTTTCCAAGTACATTCCAAAATATTACTGATGTATTCAAAGATTCAATCTATATACAAGGCATGAAAAGAGCGCAATCGCCGGAATTTCGTCCCGAATACCAGGATATAAATAATACGATGGTTCCGCTCGAAGCAGACTGTGCTCTTTTCTTCAATCTTTTGTAAAAGGGCAATAGTGAAAGGGCAATGTTGAAAATCCACATCTGTTGGAATGCATTCAATTCTACTTTCAATTTCTCAAAAAATA